TGTCTGTGTCTCTTACACTGAGGACAGATGTGGTTGAGCACAGGGATAATGACAACCAACTAAGTTCTGGGTACTGCTGGATGCTGTCCTGTGTGTTTTATAGGATACGTCTTCACCAAAGGCCTAGGAAGTTGGCACATCTTTGTTTCATAAATTTTTTTAAAAATGTGGCACAGAGTGGTTTAATGTGACAAAGCTAGAATTTGAACTGAGGCAATCTCTCTGTGAAGTCTATGTCGCTAGTTGATACTGCCCTGAACCATGGGACAGAACTGCAATGACTGGCCTTTAATAGTGAGCAGAATAGGAAAGGAAAGAGGATGAGAGAAATATCAGGAGAAGGCATATAAGTGGGAAGACGGGCAAGAGGAAGAATGATGCTTTCAGCCAACAAAAATAAGAGTCTGTAGGGACCACACTGAGAACAAGTTGGAAGAGGCAGGGGATGGAAAGAGCTCTGTCTTCCTAAGGCAAGTTACTGGCTCGCATTTTCCATGTCACAGCTGCCAAGGAATGTAAGGTATGTTCTGAAAAAAAAATATCAATACCAGAAAAATTATCTGATTCCTTGAAGAAATAAGTTGCCCCAAATAATACATTTAAATGTCTGTATAAAAAATGACCACTATCCAGAAGAAAGGAAATATTAGCAAAAGTCAGAGAGCCTGAAAAAGTACCACCCATTTATCCTCTTGCTGAGCCTCATTCTTCCAGCGGCTGTTGAGGACCCCAAAGAGTGACACTTGCTTCCCTGAAAGTGCCTGAGCCTGGGGGCTGGCGAGTAGCAATGGAAGGAATGACTTCTCTCCCTTCAACAGAATGCAGTAGTTATCATTAAATGAACACACTATTAATTAATACACCTAAACCGGGTCTTGTGCAACCTCTTGACCTGGTTTATTTCCATTTTCAGTGAGAGATGGAGCTACAGCAAACCAGGACCTTTACATTATCATCAGTTTTACCGTATGATTTGCTGAAACATAAAATTCTTTGTCCACAGCTTTAGGGCTAAATCTTACCAGTGATTGAAGCACACATGTTAGCTACAATACCATAAATGGAGACAATCTATGTTGAAAAGATGTCATTGTCCGTTTCCAGCTGTATATTGGAGTTGACATCTCCATGAGTGTCTCTAACTGTGTGTGAGGGTGTGGGGCTGTGCACGCATCTTTCTGAGCATGTAACTACCAGAGGTGATGAATGTGGAATTTTCCACAGGCTGGCAAGAGCGAACCACAATGGTTAAAGAAGGTAAAGGAAAGAAATAATGGTCCTTTTGAGCAGAACAAGTGTGGTCAATAAAACCTGAGAAGGGAAATCTGGGTCATTTTCAATAAAAAAGGTTTTTTTTCATCACAGAGATAACTTTCCATGGGCTTTGCTAAAGTAGCTTTCTGGTACCTACTTTTCACTTCTATAAGAGTAAACCTGAGAGCGATTGGGCAGAGATCATCCACTTCGCTGTAAGAAAGACTTGGGCTCCCTTTCCCTCCTCCACACCACTGACCTCCTGTGTGACCCTCTGGAAGTTGTTTAGTCTCTCAGCCTTGGTGATCTTATGGATAACAAAGAGGTAATAGTAGTTTCTAGTTCAATGTCTTTCCAAAGAGGCTAAGAGAAGATGCATGCAAAGTGCTGACCAAAGCCCTAGCACATAGTAGGCCTTCAAATGTTCACAAGTGTCTGGTAATTGTTCATACTATTGGAGATTTCTGGCTCTATACAGATACTTTAAAGGGAGTGGTAAGCTTGGCATTAACAATTACATTTAAGTTCTCTAATAAAACTTAGTTTTGTTAAGATTCATGTTTATTTCACTAAGACATCATTGTACTTCTTGTGGAAGCATTGAGCTTTTTTTGCCCCCTTGCCATAACAGTTAGCCATTTGTTCTGACTTTTCTATTCTATTCAGTCACTGAGAAACTTTGAAAGAATATATGAGTACAGTGGATACCATAGAGAATATTATGTGAAGCTATACACCAACAAATTGGATAACCTAGGATAAATGGATAAATTCTTAGAGTCATACAGCCTCCCAAGACTGAATCAAGAAGAAATAGAGAAAAAGGAATATACCAATCACAAGTAAAGAGATTGAAGCAGTAATCAAAAACATACCAAAAAACAGAAGTCTAGGACCGGATGGCTTCTCTGGAGAATTCTACCAAACATTCAAAGAAGATTTAATACCTATCCACCTCAAACTATTCCAAAAAATTGAAGAAGATGGAATACTTCTTAACTCACTCTATGAGGCCAACATTATCCTGAAACCAAAACCAGACAAAGACAACACAAAGAAAGAAAATTACAGGCCAACATCGCTGATGAACATAGATACAAAAATCTTCATCAAAATATTGGCAAGCTAAATACTGCAATACATTAAAAGGATCATACACCATGATCAAGTGGGATTTTATACTAGGGATGCAGGGATGATTCAATATCCACAAATCAGTCAATGTGATTCACCACATTAACACAATGAGGAATAAAAACCACATGATCATCTCAATAGATGCAGAGAAGACATTTGACAAGACCCAACATACTTTTATGATAAAAACTCTCAATAAAATGGATATTGAAGGAAAGTACTTCAACATAATAAAGGTCATATATGACAAACCCACAGCCAAGATCATACTTAACAGTGAAAAACTGAAGGCCACCCTCTGAGAACAGGAACAAGACAAGACTGCTCACTCTTGCCACTCTTATTCAACATAGTACTGGAGATTTCAGCCAGAGAAATTAGGCGAGAAAAAGAAATAAAACGAATCCAAATTGGAAGGGAAGAAGTGAAACTCTCTTTGAAGATGACATGATTCTATATATAGACAACCCCAAAGAATCCATCAGAAAACTATTAGAAATAATCAACTACAGTAAAGTTGAAGAGTGCAAAAACAAGTTACAAAAATCAATTGTATTTCTATACACTAGTAACAAACCAGCAGAAGGAGAAGTCAAAATACAATATCATTTACAACCACAAAAAAGAATAAAATATTAGGGAGTAAATTTAACCAAGGAGGTGAAAGACCCATACACTGAAAACTATAACTAATTGTTGAAAGAAGTCAAAGAAGATATAAAGTAATGGAAAGATATTCCACGCTCATGGATTAGAAGAATAAACATAGTTAAAATGTCCATATTACCTAAGGCAATTTACAGATTCAACGCAAGCCCAATCAGATCCCAGTGACCTTCTTCACAGAAATAGAACAAAGATTCCTAAAATGTATATGGAACAACAAAAGACCCTGAATAGCCGAAGCAATCGTGAGAAAAAAGAACAAAGCTGGAGGTATCACAATCCCTGACTTCAAAATATACTACAAACTGCAGAAGTCCAAACAGCATGGTACTGACACAAAAACAGACACACTGATCAATGGAACAGAATTGAAAGTCCAAAAATAAAACCAAAAATCTATAAACAGCTAATCTTTGACAAAGGAGCCAAGAATGTACAATGGAAAAAGGAAAGTCTCTTTAATAAATAGTGTTAGGAAAACTGGACATCCACATGCAAAAGAATGAAAGTAGACCATTATCTTGAAACCATACACAAAAATTAACTCAAAATAGATTAAAGACTTGAATGTAAGATCTGAAACCATAAAACTCCTAGAAGAAAATATAGGCTGTACACTCTTTGACATCAGTCTCAGCAGCATCTTTTCAAATGTCATGTCTACTCAGACAAAATAAGCACAAAAAAAAATAAAATAAACCAAATGGGACTACATCAAACTAAAAACTTCTGCAATGCAAAGGAAATCAGGAACAACCCAGCAACTGGGAGAAGATATTTGCAAATCATATATCTGACAAGGAGTTAATTCCCAAAATATATAAAGAACTCGTACAACTCAACAACAAAAGCAAACAACCCAACAAAAACTGGGCAGAGGATATGGACAGGCATTTTTCCAAAAAGATATACAGATGGCTAACAGACACACGGAAATATGCTCAACATCACTAATTATGAGGGAAATGCAAATCAAAACGAACACTTGTCAGAAAGGCTGTAATTACCAAGACAAAAAATAAGAAATGTCAGAGAGGATGTGGAGAAATGGGAACACTCAAACACTGCTGATGGGAATGCAAACTGGTGCAGCCACTATAGAAAACAGTATGGAGATTTCTCAAAAAAAATTAAAAATAGAAATACCATGCAATACAGTTATCCCACTACTGGGTATTTATCCAAAGAACTTGAAATCAACAGTTCAAAGTGACTTAGCACCCCTATGTTCATTGTAGCATTATTCACCATATCCAAGTTATGGAAGCAACCCACGTGCCCATCAAGTGATGAGTGGATAAAGAAGATGTGGTATATATATAATGGAGTACTACTCAGCCATAAGGTAAGACAAAATTATCCCATTAGCAACAACATGGATGGACCTTGAAGGTATGATGTTTAGAGAAATAAGCCAGACAGAGAAAGACGAATACCGTATGATTTCACTCATATGTGGAACATAGAGAAATATATGGACAAAGAGAACAGGTTAGTGATTAACAGAGGGGAAGAGGATATGGGGGTGGGTGAAACAGATAAAGGGGCACATATGTGTGGTGACAGATAAAAATTAGACTACTGGTGGTGAACACAAGGCAATCTATACAGAAGCTGATATATAATAATGTACACCCCAAATTACACCATGTTATAAACCAATATGACCTCAATAAAATAATTGAAAAAGAAAAAAAGAGAATAAAGAATAAAATGATTCCATCAGACAATTAATTAGAGTGTATGTCCATCCAAATGAAGATCTCACAACATTGGGAATTTGAGAATCACATACGGAATATTTTAAATTGAAGCTCACTTATAAAAAGATGAGAGATCTGAGATCCACAGAAGTTTGACGATTGCTCATGATCCTATAACCCTGTTGGCTGATTACCTACTCCAAGTTTAGTCTCCTATAGCTCACTTCTTGAACATACTTACCTCATTTGTGTCCAGGTGACAAGTGTTCAGTAAGTGGCCCATTATGAGTGATCTAATATTAGAAATAAATCAATAAAGAAAATTGTTCAGGGTATTTGGAGAGACATAATTAAGGCAATTTCTGAGGAATCACTGTCCTTATTTTAATGAAAATGTATTCAGCAAATTCAAACCTGCTCTGTGGTGCACCCCATTTCAGTTGTGTTAGAGACAGCATAGTATTGGGAATGATGTGGCATCTTCCGGCCCACTACTCAGAGCGTATATCTATAAACAATCAATAAGTAAGACAACGTAAATAACTGTTATCTTTAATAGGGCAATTTTTTGATATTGTGAGATAAATCATAGAGTTTTAGAACTGAACAGTAGAGACCATTTGTCCAACACATTGGTTTCACAAATAAGGAAACAGAGCTCTAGAAAGGCCTAATGCCCCACAAGTATAGACTTTGCATTTCATATTTAAGTAAAAGCAGTGAAAGTAGTAAAAGAATGCTCTTAAGCAGGAGCACATTGAGTGTCAGGCACCTATTTTATGTATTTAAAACATCAGCATCCCAAAACATTGTTTGACCTTTCAGTATTTTGTCTCAAAAGTATGACAAAGGTGGTGGGGAGGAACGGCTGGCCTTAAGAAGTGCACCCTCAGCCACTATGCATCCTTCTGCATATGCAAAGAACTTCAGGAAAGGGAATCCTAGGCTCCCTGACATGCCCTGTGCTCAAGTTTTACCTGAGTAGGCCAGATGGAGAATAATAGTTTCTATCACAAGTCGTTACACTGGTTATGTAGTACTGTAAGTAGCAAGTAGTTACATGCTACTCAAAACATTACATTATTTTAAGATTAAGGCCGGAATCAAATGAAAAAAATTCTCTAATTGATGAGGCATCTAAGGATTTTCTCCACCACTGAGATTCCAGGAACAAAACCTCGCTCCGTGGAGAGGACACACTGTGGCTCAAGAGGAAAAGAACATCTTGCTCTGGGCTTAATCTGACCTTGCAATACCATTTTTTAATTGTAATCACTCTTTCCATAGCTTGTCTTTTAAGAACAACCTTTATAACCAATGGAGGGGAGAATTTTAAGTCTCCTTAGGGATCTGGAAACATAACAGGAAAATTTGCTGAATTGGTGATTCTGGCTTTTTCCCACATTAATTTTACAGATCTAACAAAAATTTCACAGAAAAGAGCTCCATGACAGGAGTAGAAGGATAATTTTAAGTGAGAAATCAAGAAGATAAGTAGCAAAGCAAGTAGATCTGGTTTCAAAATGTTTCTACTAAAAATATAAATGTATATTTTATGTGCACCAGAAATTATTTATCGAGGATTATGGAATATCTCTTGCGTTTTATTTTATTTTTTTGGTTTTAGATAAGGTTGTCAATTCCACTATTTGCCATTTACCAGACACGTGTACATATAATAATCTCCTAGATAAGAGGACAGAAAACATATCATCTCAAAGCACTTGTTTTCGCTTTTTCCGTTAATTAATTGACTGGCATAGATGTTGAGTCTAATATAATCACCATCACCTGGACGTTCACATCTCTTGAAAACCATTGCCCTGATGTGCCAGTCCACTGATCAGATGAACCAGTTGGTGAGTAAATTCTACCAGAATGGTAGTGCCTTGATGATGGCATTATGACCTAATCAAAAAGAACTTAAAATCTAAATCCACACAGTTTTTCTTAAAATAATGACATTTCTTAAAAGAATGATCTAACTAAAACTAGATCAGGACTTTTGTTAAGGGATGCCTGAAGAAAAAAAGGCAGAATTAAACAAATTATTCCCACAGAAAAGCCACTTGACTCTCCAGCAGTATCAGACTGCCTGGAGTTTCCTGTATGGATGATGCTATTTTCTCCTTCCTTGTCTTTGCTTATCCTGACCTCCACCCCTGCTGAGGTAGGCTTCCTATTCCCAATTCTTTCAGCTGATTAACACTGACTTATGCTTTTCAAATCTAGCTCCGTTATCATTTCCTTCTGACAGTTTTCCCTGTTAACCCTCAACTTTACCTCTAAATACTATTGATTCTTCTTAGTGCTTCTATAATTCCTGGCTTCCTCTGCATATCTCTGTCAGAGCTCTTCCTCACTGTATCATAAGTATGTCTTAGTGTGTCTTATTCACTCACTAGAGTTATAAGTGTCAATATATTGTCCATAAATGAGTGCATCATAATCACCTAATTATCCTTAGATGGACGAGGACCTGAGCTGCGTCATAACCTAGATATAATGAAATATAATCTATGTGCATATAATCTAGCAATATTCATTTTCAAATAAGTTTCCAAGATATTTATTCACACTAAAGTTTAACAATATTGCAGACAACAATGTATTCCATGAGGGAAAGAAATATAACTTTTCACCTATATTCCCAGAACGTTATCATAGCGGTTAGCATTCAAAAAGTGTATCTGCAATAAATGAATGCAAAGGTAAATTAGTCAAAACAATAAAGAAAAGCAACAAAAACAAAAGTTGATTCTTTGAAAAGATAAACAAAATCAACAAAACTTTGGCAAGGTTAAATATGTGGCTTCAGCAACAAACATTTATTTCTCACAGTTCTGAAGGCTAAAAGTCCAAGTTCAAGGTTCCAGCCAGTTTGGTTTCTGGTGAGAGGTCTCTTTCTGGCTTATAGACAGCTAGCTATCTTCTTGCTTTGTTTTCAGGTGGCCTTTCATTGGTTCCTGCATGGGGAGTGGGTGGGCTGTCTCTGGTGTCTCTTAAGGACACTAATGCTATCAGATCAGACCCCACCCTTATGATGATTCAGAGACCATCAAGGCCACAACTCCCAAACCAGGCCCAGTGGGAAGCCTGGTTCCTCCTCAATTTCAAAGAGTAGCCACTTCTCTGGTTTAGCGGAGACTGGGTACCCCTGCCCAGTGCCTCAGGGGCGTGGCTGCTGTGAGGAGCTGAAGGGATGGGGCTGCCTTGTCTAGCCTTGGGGGTGAAACTGTCACCCCGTTGAGCCTGGAGGGCAGAGCATTAAATCAAAGAGGATTATTCTTGAAACTTAAAATCTAACTGAATTTGCCTTCTGGGTTTTGAATTTGCTTGGGACCCATCAGGCCCACCCTTTCTTCCTTCCAATTTCTCCCTTTTGGGATGGGAATGTCTACCCTATACCTTGTCCCACTGTTGTATTCTGGAAGTACATAACTTGTCTGGAATCACAGGTTCACCGCTGGAGAGGAATATTTGTGTTAGGATGATCATACTTCAAGTCTCATCTATATCTAATTTAGATAATATTTAGGTAAGACTTCACACTTTAGACTTAGGGTTGACACTGAAATGTATTAAGACTTTGGGCTTTAGGGATGGAATGAATGTATTTTGCATCCAAAAAGGAGATGAATTTTGGGGGATTGGGGTGGAGTGTTTTGACTGAATGTTTGTGTCTCCTTAAAATTCATGTATTGAAGACCTGATCACTGATGTGGCTGTACTTGGAGATGGGGACTCTAGGAAGTAATTAAGGTTAAAGAGGTCATAAGAGTGGGGCCTTGATCCAATAGGGTTAGTGTCCTTATAAAAAGAGACATGAGAGAGCTTGCTCTCTCTCTGCCTGCACACAGTGAGGAAAGGCCATGTGAGCACACAGCAAGAAGGTGGCCATCTACAAGCCAGGAAGAGAGTTGTCCTCAGGAATGGAATCAGCCAGTACTTTGGTCTTGGACTTCCAGCCTCCAGAACTGTGAGAAAATAAATTGCTGCTGTTTAAGCCACCCAATCTGTGCTATTTTGTTATGGTACCCTGAGCAGACTAATATACCAAGTGAAAAAGACTGGACATTCAAATTATAAAACAGGAATAAAAAAGAAATGATTTTACAGAAACAAAGAGGATTATAAGAGATTACCATGAACAACAGTATGCCAACAAATTAGATAGCTCTGATGAAATTGACAAATTCCTAGAAAGACACAAAATATCAAGAAGACAAGAAGAAATAGAAAATCCGAGCACATCTATAATAAATAAAGATTGAATTAATTTTGATTAATTCATTAAAAAATAATAAAAAATAATTGTTTTTAAAAACTACCCACAAAGAAAATTCTAGGTCTAGATGGGTTCAATGATGAGTTCTACCAAGCACTTAAAGAATAATTAACGCTTATACTTCACAAAGTCTCCAAAAAATTAGAAGAGAAGGAAACAGTTCTTAACCCATTTTATAAGGCCAGTATTACTCTGATACCAAAACCAGACCAAGACACCTCAAGAAAACAAAACTACAGAACAATTTCTCTTATAAATACAGCTGTGAAGTTGCCAAGAAAATACTAACAAATCAAATCCAGCAATATACAAACATAACTATACACCATGACAGGAATGCAAACTTGGTTTAACACCTGAAAATCAATTACTGTAATACATCATTTCAATAGAATAAAAGGCAAAAACCACATGATTAACTCAATACATGTAGGAAAGGCATTTGACAAAGTTCAACACACTTTCTTGATTAAAAAAAACAAAACACACAACAAACTAGGAATAAAAAGGAATTCCTCAACCTGATAAAGGACATCTATGAAAACTCATAACAAGCAGCATAATTAATAGTGAGATAAAAAGCTTTCCCATAAGACCAGGAACAAAACAAGGATATCTGCTTTCACTAATTCTAGTCAATATTGTGTTGGAGGTTTAGCCAGGGCAATTTGGCAAGGAAAAAAAAAAATGCCATCCAGAGTGGAAAGGAAGAAGCAAAAATTTCTATTTGCATATGATGTGAATTTATGTATAGAATTAAAGGATTCCGATTTAAAGAATTATTAGAGGAGTGATGTCAGAGAAAATGGCAGAGTAGATAGTTCAAAGGGAACACGTCTTTACAGAAACATCAAAAAATCAAGCAAAAGCTGTTGGAATCAACTTTGTCATAACAGTGGAAAATTATCAAAGGTTTACAGAGACAATTCAAACGATGAATCAAGAAAAAGATAATTTAAAAGCAGTAAGAAAGCTTGGTGGCATTTTTACTTGCCCTCCCTAGACTCCCTTCCTGCCCTGGTGGGCACACAATGTACAAAAGTGTAATTTGTGACAATAACAACATGAGACAGTGGCATTATATAGAAGCAGAGCTTTCGTATGCTGTTGAAGCTTAGTTGGTATCAATGCAAACTAGATTGTTATAAATTAGGATGTAATTCTCATAGTAACTACTAAACAAATAACTAGAACATAAAGTAAAGAGATCCATTAGTAATCAAAAATCTCCTAACCAAAAAAAGTCCAAGACCAGATGGTTTCACTGGTAAATTCTACCAACCATTTAAAGAAGAATTAACACCAATCATTCTCAAATTCTTCCCAAAGAAACAGAAGCAAAAGGAATAGTTCCTAACTCATTCTATAAGACCAGTATTAGCCTGATACCAAAGCCAGAAAAAGACACCACGAGAAAAGAAAACTGTAGATCAACATGCCTTATGAGTACATATTCAAAAATCCTCAGGAAAATACTACAAACCAAATCCAGCATCATAGTAAAGTGATTATACACCACAACTAGGAAGAATTTTCCCCAGAAATGCAAGGGTGGTTCAACATGAAAAATTCTATATAATACACCACATTATTAATGGAATGAAGGAAAAAATGATCATTTAAACTTATGCAGAAAAAGCATTTAACAAAATCCTATACCCTTTCATGGAAACAAAAAACCTGGAAAACTAGGAATAGACGGAAATATCCTCAACATGATGAAGGGCATTTATGAAAAACCCACAGCCAACATCATGCTCAATAGTGAAAGACTGAAAGCATTCACACTAAAATCAGGACTAAGACAAGGACACCTACTTTCATCACTGCTGTTCAACATTGTACTAGAGGTTCTAGCCAGATCAATTAGGCAAGAAAAAGAAATAAAAGGCATCAAAACTAGAAAGAAAGAAAGAAAACTTTCTTTATTCTCAAATGACATGATCCTAAATGTAAAAATCCCAAAGAATTCATGCAAAAAACTACTCAAGCTACTAAAAGAATTCAGCAAAGTTGCAGGATACAAAGTCAACATACAAAAATCAATTACATTTTTATATACTAACAATGAATAATCTTAAAAGGAAGTTAAGAAAATGATTCCATTTCCAACAGCATCATAAAGAATAAAACACATAGGAATAAAATTAACCAGGGAGGTGAGAGACTGCTAGACTGAAACTACAAAACATTTCTGGGAGAAAATTTAAAAGATCAAAATAAGTGGAAAGACATCCTGTGCTCATGGACTGGAATATTTAATATTATTAAGACAATAATACTGCCCAAAGCAATCTACAGATTCAATGCAATCTCCATTAACATTCCAGTGACATTTTTTCACAGAAATGGAAAAGCTGATCCTCAAATCCATATGGAATCGTAAGGGGCCCAAATAGCCAACACAATTTTGATAAGATTGAAGTTGGAGAACTCACACTACCTGATTGTAAAACTTACTACAAAGCTACAGTACTCAAAACAGTATATAGTCCTGGGATAAGGATATACATACAGTCAAAATAGAATTGAAATTCCAGAAATAAACTCATACATATAAGCTAATTGATTCCATTTATGTGAAATATCCAGAAT